CTTGTTTGGGCCTGTGGAGAAGAGAGATGAGATAAATAGTAAATATTTTTTAGTTAACTACAATAATAACAAAGAAATGTTAATGGATAATATTTAATGATACATATAGGGGTGTTGTACCAGTAAAAGTAAAATGGACAGAAGTGTTAATTTGTGAGTTGAGGGGAGGGGGAAAGGAGAGGGAATGTTAGATATCCTCCTAACTGACTTTCTTTTAGAATATGTTATAAGGATGTAAAGTTATGGCAGATTCATTATGATTGCAAAAGTATGCCAGTAGGTGGTTCTGTCTTCAAATATAAATGATCTTAGGGGGGGGAAAAACATGTTTAAGTAACCGTAATCAAATGAAAATTGTGGTACAGTGATAGTAAAATATATAAATTCTAAAATGTACAACTCAACCTGAATGAAATATATACAATGATTGTGGAAGAAACACACGAAATGTACCTGTAACCAATTGACACGCTTACTACAAGATGTAATGAAAGATGATTCTTTTTTTGTGTGTGCGTTCTTGTTTAATAAAAACAATAAAAAATTTATATATAAAAAAGGAAAATTCTTATGATTCAATTGGCAGAGTGATAATCCCTCAGTTCACAAAAGATCAAAGGAAACTTGTGTAGGTGGGACACCCTAAGTCCTTTTTCAGAGTTTGTGACATCAAAGCCTCCTAATTTTTTTGGGTAGGGAATTCCTCCAATGGCAAGCAGTCAACAAAATAAACGTTATATGAATTCTATATATGGTAAAATTCCAAATCAGACTAGTAGGGTATAACAAGACTGGGTGTATCTTCTGGCTTCTTACCCTTCCTGGAAGATCTCATAACCAGCTGATTCCTCCAATATCAGAATTCATGCACTTTCCTATTTTCCAATATCAGAAACCAATTTCATTTTCATAAGGAACAATCCCAAGCTTTCTCAACAGTTAATAAATAGTGCCAGAGGTGAAAATATGACTTGCTTGAATCATGCTTTTAAATAACATACACATGGTCTTTTAGTAGTGTCCTGTTAGGAATGAAACTGTTGCAAGCAGGAGTTTAATACTACAACGCTGCTGAGTTATTCAAAATATAATTTGTAGAAGAATTTGGAGTTCACATTAAAACTCCTAATTGGAAGAGATGCATAATTTCAGAACACTGGCCTATAACTGCTTGTCTGCAGCTGGTATTAACAACATGCAAGATATGCCTAACTCTAACAGATGGCTTATTTTTCATTAGTGACAAGTTGGCTTGCTGTGCAAGGTGATTATATCGCCAGTTATAGCAATGTCCAATACAATCAATACTGTAATCTAAAATAGCTTTTATTTAATCTATGTAACTGTTACAACTGGACGGGATAATGCTTTAAATTTTAAGATGAACTTGCAGAGGAATAGTGGGAAATAGTGGGATAATATATGTGAATTGCAAAGCACCTAGATGCTTTTAATTCCTCAAAAAGTAGTATCTAGTATTTAATTCTTAATCTGAATTGGGTTGTTCAAATATGCTCAAGTATGTTCTTCCCTAAAATATTTAGGATTCTTTTATAAGGTAAATTTAAAGATGGTAACTAATACTGGCTTTTCTTGATCACACAACCTCTAGATCAGGGGTATCAAACTCACGGCCCACAGGCCAGACGTGTCATGTGCTGGCCCTGCCCCCGCCAGATTTAGCGAAGGGGAAAGAGGCCCAATGCATCACATGACGACGCCATGATGCCGGGAGTTTAACACCCCTGCTCTAAACGGATTGGATTACAATTTCAAAAAATTCTGGGAAATGTCAATCTGCATATTTAGATGGCACTTGTTAACCCAATCAATGTAGTACTATATGTATGCATTAACTCACATACACGTATACAGACATTTATAAGAATCAGAATTTGTTTTACTTTATATTCATCCTGTCTAGCAGTTGGGGAGCTGCATGGACACGATGGTAAAAAAGTAGTGAGGAATTATGAATAAAGTGCATGAAATGAGGTAGAAAACTACTGTATTTTTCGGATTATAATACTTTTGGAGTATAAATTCCCCCCATAAAAGTGGGTGAAAATTTGGGTGCGTCTTATTCACTGAATGTAGCCCCACCCACCCACCAGCCCCACCCTTTGGCCTCTGCTTCCCAGCAATTCCCCTCCTTGCAGCAAACAGCCTGTTTCCGTTTCAGCACAGCCTGATTAGCACAAGCATTGTGATTGTTGGTTGGATCGGCCTCCCGACCATCAGCTGTTTCAGGCTGCAGGGATTGCCATTGCCTATTGCTGCCTCTGTGTGCCCCGTTTTTGGCCTCTGTATCCCATTTTTGGCCTCTGCATGCCCCATTTTCAGCCTCCACGTGCATAATTTTCCACCCATTCTGATCCCTGACGCTCAGAATGGGCGGAAAATGGGGCACACAGAGGCAGAAACAGGGTGTGAGGAGGCCAAAAATGGGATGCACAGAGGCAGCAATAGGCTATGGCAACCTGAAACAGCTGATTGTTGGGAGGCCCAACAATCAGCTGCTTGTGCTAATCAGGCTGTGCTGAAATTGAAACTAAAATGGGCCGTTTGCTGCCAGGAGGCAAATTTTTTTCTTGTTTTCCTCCCCAAAATCTAGGTGTGTCTTATACTTCGGAGTGTCTTCTACTCTGAAAAATATGGTAAATTCTGAAGAACAGTGGGTGGCTTGGGCAATGATTTTGAAATGAAAGAGACATTAACTTTCCATGTCCAACATTTTAACTTGTGCTTTAAGCTTTTGGCGCTTCTGCGCACACGCATGGCACGTACAGTGCCTGAACAAAGCTCCGCGGAGCAGCTAGAGCATAATGGAGGCTTGCAGAAGCATCATTTGATGCTAGGACTCATACGCACACGGCCGGATTTTCCTATAGGCTAACTAGGCTTCAGCCTAGGGCCTCAAGATCAAGAGGTGCCTACATTCAAATTGTT